CTAGCCTAACCCTTGTTTGCCATTATGCTATTTACGTCGGCTACTATGTTTTACCATTAAACCATTCCCTCCATAAACTTATCCAACTTAATCTTAAAACCAGACAAGTCCGTTGCCCCCACCGTTTCCCTCGGAAGGCCGTTCCAATATTTCACCCCTCTGAGTAAGGGACTGCTGATGTGACTTGGGGTTTATCAGCTCCTTGGGCAGTGAGACTGTTACTCTCTCATCAAGCAGAAGGTCGCCAAGATAACCTGGAAACCCTACAGTGGCATGTGCTCAGCTATATGGTGGCAGAAATCTGTGGGGAATCCCACAGGAATTCCCATACAGGAGGCTCACTGGACCCTTCTCATACAGGAGTGGGCAAACTACGGCCCATGGGCCGGATCCAGCCCATCAGGTCTTTGGATCCAGCCCGTGGGATTGCCACCCCCGTGGCGCAGCGGGCCCCACACCACTCCCAGAAGCAGCCAGCACCATGTCCCTGAAGCCTCTGGGGGAAGGGGAGAGCAGAGGTCTGCCCAAGCTGCCCCCGCCCCACACCCCCTCCCACAGCTGACATTGGCCGGAACAAGGAACCACATCCAATGGGAACTTCTGAGGAAGTACCAGCAGGTGAGGGCAGCGCGCATTGCCCCCTGCCTCCCCCCCACTCCCCCCGGCCCGGGGCTGCAGGGACATGGTGCCGGCCGCTTCCGGGAGTGGTGCAGGGCCACTCCCTCCTGCACCCCAACCCCCTGCCCTGAGCCCCTTCCTGCACACCACACCCTCTCCCACATCCTGCACCCCAACCCCCAGCCCCAGCCCTACATTCATGGCCCTGCATGCAATTTCCGCACCCGGATGTGGCCCTCAATACAAAAAGTTTGCCCACCTCTGTTCTAGTAGATTTAGCGCTGTCCTACCTGGTGTCTTTGAGAGTGGACACATCTTCATTAAGGGAGGAGAGTTTGTCTCTCAGGATCCAGAGGGTTACAAGAAAAAATGTTAAATTTATCTGTGGAAACAGCATGAAATATTCCTTGTAAAACATGCCAGCCAAGGCCAGTCTCTCTGGTTGAGGCATGGAACAATCCTATGGGATCAGACTGTTGCTGACCAGTGACTGCTCGTCAAGGTGGGTCATACACCATTCCCTGCCAGACCTTGGTCCCAGGACATGCAGGGAACTGTTGGCATAGGCAGGGCTGCAATGCATCACATGTGATCATACAGCCAGAGGGCCACATTCTGCTCTTATCTGAATCTGGAGTGACTCCACTGATTCCAATGGGGTCTGCAGTTATTCCAGATTTAGAGCCGTGTGATTTGGCCCAAAGCTTCTAGATCCTATCTATAGAGTATTCCCTTCAATTCTGAGGCTGAAATTAATTCTTAACTTGCTGCCTGAGATGGAGAGGAATCTGCAAGGACATTTGGTACTTTTATCTCTTACAACACATGCACCCTTCCATCCTCAAACTCCCCACGCTGCAGCCACCTTCCCTTCCCCCATAACCTGGGTTATTTACCAGCCAGGCTGGACAAGGGAAGGGACAAAACTATCCTCATTCCGGCAGAGGTTCCACTTGCTTGCATGGCACCATTGCATGAGTAATGACGTATTATAATTAATCATATTATGGTAGCACCGAGAAGCTCCAACTGAGACTGCACTGGGTTCTGTACTCACACGTAGAAAGGGGTAGCTCCTGTCCTGGAGCATTTGTTAGCAAAATAACAGGGCAAGACCACAGGCACCGGATTCCCCCGGGACGCTCAACCTCCCACTGCGCCCAAAGCCCCACCCCCACCCCACCCCTTCTCCAAGCCCCCGCCTCTTCCCACCCCTGCCCCAACTCTTCCCACCCAGATCCATCCCCTCCCCTCCAGCACCTCCTGCACAACTCAGAACAGCAGACTGCGGCAAGCGGAAGGTGACGGGATGGAGGGGGAGGAGTTAATCGGCGTGGCTGCCAGTGGACGGGAGGCATGGGGGGCGGGATGAGTGGGGGAGCTGGCTGCCAATGTGTGCTGAGCATCCACTATTTTTTTTCGGTGTCTATGGGCAAGACAGACAAAGGGTGGGAGGAGAAACAGAGGTACAGCGAGAAGAAGCTACTTCCCAAGTTAACACAGCAGGCCAGTGGCAGAGTCAGGTCTCCTGACTCACAACCCAGGGCCTGACCCATTCACCCTGACTGACTCCATAGAATGTAGGCTGTTGTGTTAGGGGGAAATCCTGCACTGGCCAAAGAGGGGTGGATGAAATGGGATCTTATAGGACTCTTTCATCTTAAATTCTCTGGGAGATATTCTTCTCTTGGCTCCACTGGAGTCCACAGGGTTGCAGAGGTGAGAGGAGAATGGGGCCCTGTGGTTCTGTGAGGTACCCACCAGGATTATGGCACAGACTGGACCCAGGAAGCTCCAACGAAAGCCTCTGTCCAGGCTTAGCCAGCAGCTAGAGGCAGGAAGGAAGAAGATGGTGACTTTAATGGGATTACTGCCCTTTTTCAGCCCCGGGGGCAGAGAGTGAGTGTCACAGGGCAGCTGGCTCTCAAAAGCAAGATGGATCTCAGCCTGCCTGTGACATGGCCAACTCCCTTGCGGGCAGCAGGCAAACAGCCCTTCCCATCTACCTCAGCATCTCCTGCTTTCAGCCACCACTTCCTCTCCCACCTCCTCAAATGACCCTTTCTGGTGGATGGGCGCAGTATTGCTGGAGGGCCAGACATGCAGCAGATGGACATTGGCCTCGCTGCACTGAAGGAAGTGGAGCTGCCCTGATTTACACCAGCTGAGGATCTGGCCTGGGGTGTCTAGAACACGCCACGCCCTGTTTTAGTGAGTCCCTCACTTTAGAGAGGGGATCCTCGGGGATCTGCACACAGGAAGAAGGTTCATTTGTTTCCTACCCACCAGCACCACAAACCCAGCCTGGGAGCTGGGAGTCAAGCTGGGATCTTTCTGGCTTGTTCTTCTGCATCATCAGTGGGGTGAGGAGTGTAGATGTCTGACAGGTGGGCAACTCAACTACAGTGCTTGGGGCAGCTTAGTGTCACATTCAGCTCCCAGGCAGGGTGAGCAGGGAAATCTAGGTTCAAGTCAGACCTGGGGTGAGCCGGACAAACGCATGGAAGCCACATCTCAGCTCCCCTTTGGGATGGGCGCTGCACGTACTGTTTGGAAGTTCCGTAGCCATCAGGATTCAGCGCTGCCGAAATAACCACCACCAGGGCTGGGAATCCGTAGCCGAACGGGTACATGAATCTCTTCTTGAACCAGCTAGTGCTGGTGTAATTCACGACCTTCAGGTTCCTGACGGTGAGGAAGAGGTGCAGCCCCTCCAGGAACATCCAGGTGAAGCAGGCCAGGAAGAGGTAGTGTAGGAAGCCAGCAATTACAGCACACACCACCTGAGGACAGGATGAGAGAGAGCTCTGGGACACTGCTTCCGGGAAAGGAAATACTGAATTTGGAGGTGGGGGGAGGATCACATAGGAGGATCACATTTTTATTAACACATCTCTCTAGTTATGGAGCTCTCCCAGAGACAATACGTTCTTCAGTCTACGGGGACTTGTCTAAGAGCAAGCTGTCTGGCCCTTTCAATCATTCAGAGTCCAGCCCAGTCCTGATCTCCACTCAGAAAAGATGGTTTCTGGGCGTTGTAATTCCCAAATAAATCGGGGAATTGTTGGATACTGTGAGGAATCCTAGGAAAAGGAGCAGGGACATAAACAAGTTCCCAGTCCTCAGAATAGGGAGAGACCTGGAGGATGTAGGTTCTCTTCTCTATTTCTGCTTCAGGGTATAGGTGTCTTGCGTCTGCCCATCAGTGTGGGGGCAGAGAGGACAGGCAGGGGACTGTGACTCTGAAAATCGGGGTTCCTTTGTCTGAATGATGAAGGAAGGAGCGCACAAGGAAAAGGGAAGGACTGGTTTCACCCATAGAGATTTCTTTTGGATGGGGAGTAAATAATTATTTCTGCAGGACTAAAGAGCATGGAATAAATGTTACCGTCCAGCTGAGGGTATAAAAAGGTGCTGGGGTGAGGGGAGCTTTAGAAATGCTGACAGAGGATCTGGACACAGCTCAATTTTAAACCAAGAATAAAAGTGGATAACAGACCTGAATGCTGGTGCGAGTCACTGCGGTGAGGAAGAGCAGGTTGGCCAGGAAGAGGCAGAGGCAGAGCTGCAGGTGGATGGAGGTGCTGATGTTGCGGATGGAGCGGCACAGGAGGAAGGTGAGGATGGCGAGGAGGAGGCACAGCAGGGAGAGGGTCAGTCCCACGTAGGTGACGATGGTCAGTGGGTAACTCTCCTGTAAAAAAGCAAAGGGAGACTCACCAGTGAGCCCTGGGACACTATATAGTAAATAAGGGGAAGTAAGGACACCCTGGGAAATTACAGACCTGGCAGATTAACTTCTGTACTGGGAAAGATAATGGAGCAGATAATTAAGAAATCAATTTACAAACACCTAGAAGATGATAAGGTGATAAATATCAGTCAGCATGGATTTGTCAAGAACAAATCATGCCGAGCCAGCCTAATAGCTTTCTTTGACAGGGTAACAAGCCTTGTGGATGGGGGGAAGCGGTAGATGTGGTATATATTGACTTTAGTCAGGGCTAGTCTATACAGGACATGTGACCATGTCACATGATACTGGAATCCATCTTAAATATGGTACTTTCCCATTTAGAAGGAAGGGTGTGGACCCAGAGAGACAAAGGATTCCCGCCTTGTGCCAAAGCTATAAAAGGGGGTGGAGCAGAACAAGGAGCGGTCCCAATCATGAGAAAGCCCCTGCTTTTCAGCTAAGATGCCTGCTGGTACTAACAAGGACTGTACCAGGAGAAAGGATTGGCCCCAGATGAGGAAGGAGACTAGTCTGTGAAAGAAGCTTATTAGAACATCTTTAAGGGTGAGATTTACCTGTAATCAGTTTCTTAAATGTATTAGGCTTAGACTTGCATGTTTTGTTTTATTTTGCTTGGTAACTTACTTTGTTCTGTCTCTTATGACTTGGAACCACTTAAATCACTTTTGTTTATTGCTAAAGCCAGAATAAGTGATTCATAACTGGGGGAGCGAACAGCTGTGCATATCTCTCTATCAGTGTTATAGAGGGCGAATAATTTATGAGTTTACCCTGTATAAGCTTTATACAGAGGAAAACGGATTTATTTGGGGTTTGGATCCCATTGGGAACTGGGTGTCTGGGTGCTGGAGATAAGTGACCTGCTGAGTGGTTTTCAGTTAAAGCCTGAAGCTTTGGGGGCGTTGTTCAGACCCTGAGTCCGTGTTGCCGCAGGTTAGCATGTCTGGCTCAACAAGGCAGGGTTCTGGAGACCCAAGCTGGCAGGGAAAATGGTCTCAGAGGTAATCTCAGCAATTCAGGTGAGAGGCCCAAGGGGGTCTCTGTGACCGAACCCATCACAGCACGGCACTGGCGCATTCAGCTCTGTAAATATGGTCCCTGCCTAAGGACACTGCAGCATGTGCTGGGTATGTGGGAACCAACCCGCTATTACCTGCTGTCTTGGGCAGTGGATGAAGCTGCAGCTTGGGGAGGCTAGCCCCCCCAGCCCACCTCTTCTGCCTGTGGCCCCACCCATACTCCACCCCTGCTCTGCCCCAGGCCCTGCCCCCACTCTGCCCAGGCACTGCTCCTCTCCACTGTCTCCCTCCTCTCTTCCCTCCCCCTCCCTGCTCACCTCCTTCCAGCCAATCCTGAACCCAAATGAAGCTAATGACATTAGAAAGAAATTGCAGAAGAGTATTTTTTTTTCAAAAGAAAATGGAGCATGTTTTCCACTGCATACCAGAAGGTGAAGACCAGACATGCAGACGGTACCTAATTAAAAGCACTACATTTAGGAATAAAAAAATGTCAGTCACAGGTATTTTGGTGTACCCTGAAGTTTGTCAGAGATTTATTTGCAAAAACTTTGTAGTAAGGGCAAGTCAGCTGTCCTGCTGAATACAACATTAAATATTATTGAATATGTGATGAAGCTCTTCTCTGTTTTACATTTTCTTAATCAGTATTTCTAAGCTGATTTTATATTTTAAATGTACTCTTAAGCCTTCATAAAGTAACCATTCCAGATTACTACATACACCTCTATCCCGATATAGCGCGGTCCTCAGGAGCCAAAAATCCCAACCGTGTTAAAGATGAAATCCCGTTATATCGGGGTAGTGGTGGCAGGGTTCCAGCAGTGATTTAAAGAGCCCGGGGCGCCGGTCCTGGGGAACCCTGGGCCCTTTAAATTGCCACCCGAGCCCCGCTGCCGGAGTCCCGGGGTAGCAGTGGCAGGGCTCCAGCGGTGATTTAAAGGACCATGGGCTCCCCAGGTCCTTTAAAGCGCTGCCCGAGTCCCACTGCCAGAGCCCCAGGGTTACCATGCTATATGCGAACCCGTGTTAGATCGGGTCGCATTATATTGGGGTAGAGGTGTATTTAACTCACTGAAACAAAGACATTAGTTTCAATTAATCAGTCACACAGGTTTAATGTGTTCATAACAATGTTCATTGCATTTAGAAAAAGGGAACACTACTTTACTTTGTGTGATCTTCATGACAACAGACATGAAATTTCACCAACTTTAAAAAATATGTTTCCAAAGATTTTAGGCATAACAAAGGATTTTATATCTTACTAAGGTACTGATTTTGCTGGAGTGTTCTCTTAAAACTAGTTCATCAAATAGTCAGAAGTAAAGAAAGGGAAACACATTTGTCCAGCTATATGGAAGGAAAGGGGTGTTGTCCCTTTAAGGGCTAGCCTCTCTTCACCAGGGGCGGGGGGAGGGGGAAGGTGTGACAGGAGAAAGGGATGGACAGAAAGGACCGGAAGACTTGGGAAGCAAGTTTTTTGTACTATAGTAATTAAAATTAAAATGTGTATTTTAGCTAAGAGTGGTCTTCTGAAGGATGTATTTAAAAAAAACTATATGTCTGAATATCCAAGCATTTAAGGCTACAGATGAATACTCAGATTGTGGATTTAAAAACCTATGCAAGGATTTTTTAGAGATGTGATTTTGTAATCTTCAGGAATCTTCTAATGAAATATTTTAAAGCAAATTTTAAACTAAGGTCCTGTAGACTAACATGTTCTGAGTAAATATTACAGTAATGCACAACTGTTTTTGTCAGTAAACTCAGAAACTGACAGTATATACCTTTAAATGCCTGTTAAATGGCTTCATTACCACTTGAATGAGTCTTTAACAGTTTCAATGTTGTGCTAATAGGTCTGGCAGGCTGGAGACTTTTTCACTTTTAAGTTACTAGATCCCCTCCGGAGTAAGAGTCACCAGGCTGCAGCAGCTAGCTGTGGGAGCCTGCAGGAAAGGTCAGAACAGGGAAAGGAAGAGGTGGAAGGTGGACACTAGGACCCAGGGGTGCCCCAAATTTTCAGGTGCGCTACACTGCCGTGTATGCAACTGCATTTGCCTAAGGATAGTTCTGAGTGGATCACAAGCTAAATATGAGTCAACAATGTAACGCTGTTGCAAAAAAAACAAACATCATTCTGGGACGTATTAGCAGCAGTATTGTAAGCAAGACATGGGAAGTAATTCTTCCACTCTACTCTGTGCAGATTAGGCCTCAACTGGAGTATTGTGTCCAGTTCTGGGCACCATATTTCAGGAAAGATGTGGACAAATTGGAGAACGTCCAGAGAAGAGCAACACAAATGATTAACGCTCTAGAAAAAATGATCACCAGTTTTGGAGGAATCTGCTCTCCTTTTTACAGCCTGCCCTGGCCTTGGCATTGTCAGTGTAGGCTACTCTAGGCACCTCAGATCACAATCCCAGCCCAGCCCCCTTGACCCATCCTGTATGGCCACAGATTATACACTGAGGTTCCTACTCAGCATTCATTCAGGCAAAATTCCCACTGATTTTGCCTAGGTCAGGAGCTCAGAGTTCAGCCCTTTGATCTGAGTCTGACAGTGAGATACCTCCACTTCGGTGTGACCCATAAGAAGCGCAAAGCTGGAGAGATGGTCACAGCTGCAGATGGTGTGAGTGCTGTTCGTGTGGAGAACGGTGCAGCCATCCTCAGCCCAGAAGCCTCTCCCAGCTATGAATTTCCAGTGAACGCAGAGAGCCTCCTCCTCTTCTTTCTTTGCCTGGAAACAAAAACACCCCATGATCATCCTCACTGGATCATGGGGAGAACACTGTTTCTTTTGTCACACATCTCTAATAGACAGTAATAAACCTGAAGTCACCACGGGCTTCATGGCTCTCATTGTGCTGCACGTAACAGCCATTTGGGACTTCCCATTGGCAGTGGAAATACAAGTGAGATCCTCCAGCTGCAATAGCACAAGGCCCTGATCCCCGAGCTAAAGTGGTAATTCCCTTAACTCTGAGCACTGTAGGGTCTATGACACACAATTGTGCAGTTCCGATGTGAGTCATTAAAAGGCATTCACACACCCGCCCACAAATACCCACATGCACGCTAGCAAGTTCATTATTTCATCAAAGAAGGCACCATCTCAAGCTGTTTCCCTGAACTCTGCTATCTATAGGGCTGTGGGGCTGCTATCTATAGGGCTGTGGGGTGCGCCCTCCTAGGGGGACATAGAGGGACCTTCAGAGGGACAATTCCCAGGAGAAGGAGCACCACCCAGCCCTTCCCTATCCTGAGTTCTGCTCTGATCCCACCCGTAGCCACATCCCCAACTTCCAGCTCCATGCGTGGCACCGTCCCCAACCTCAGCATGGCTCCACTCCCAGCCCCAGCCCCTTACGGCTCAATTCCCGGCCCAGGGCCGAGGCTGGGGGCAGGGGGCAGGGGAGGGGCTGGGAGCAGAGCTGCACCTGGCCATGGGCTTGGCTGCTGGCTCCCACTGCAGCCTGGCTGCTGCTCCACTCCCGCCCACAGCCTCAGCCCCCAGCCATGGCTCTGGCCCTGCTCATGGCACCAGACCCAACCCAGCTGCGGCCCCAGCCTCAGCCCCCTTACCCTGTCCATGTCCTTTCCCACTGCCCCCGAGCTGCGGCCCCGCTCCCAGCCCTGGCTCAGACTGTTTCCCTGAACTCTGCTATCTATAGGGCAGAGGTCCTCAAACTGGGGGGAGGGAGGGGGGACACAGAGGAACCTTCAAAAGAACATGACTGGTCCTGGGTCAGCCCCCATGGGGTGCGGAATGGAAGCCCCTCCTGCCCCTCCCCACCCTGAGCTCTGCTCTATTCCCACCAGTAGCCGCATCCCCAACTTCCAGCCCCATGTCTGGCAGCGTCCCCAGATTCAGCATGGCTCCACTCCCAGCCCCAGTCCCTTGCAGCTCCATTCCCAGCCCAGGATGGGGGCAGGGACAGGGCTGGGAGCGGAGCCGCAACTGGCCATGGGCTTAGCTGCTGGCCCCCACCACAGCCTAGCTGTTGCTCCACTCCCGCCCCCAGCCTCAGCCCTGCTCCCGGCCCTGGCTCAGGGGGAGGGGTGTGAATGGGCTGGAGGGGTGCGACCCTCAAAAGTTTGGGGACCACTGCTATAGGGAGATGCCTTCCAATTATTCCTGCTCTAAGGGGTGAGCCAGACAATTGTTACTCCTGAGCATTTTACATGATGAATCATAACCCAATCAGGCCTGATGTGAACCCTATGTAACGTCCTCCCCAGAACAGCCCCCATGTCAGGGCTGAAGAAGCGCCGTCTCTTTCTCAGATAACTGTTTCTCAGTCCAGAAAGGCAACACAACTCAGACGCCTTTCAGGAGACTCACCTTTTAAGTGACCAGCTGGAGCCCCGGGCACAAAGCAAAGTAAAAGGATCTACACTCACCTGTCTATGGCGCAGGGTGAAGTTCACAGGTTTGGAGAGGTTCATGAGCCTCCCATCTCCGACAGCCCCACTCACCACCCTGGAATTCAAGTGACAATTCCTCAATTTCTCATCAGCCATTAGATCTCCCTCCTTGAGAAATCTCTTGTCAATGATGGAGTCCAGGGTGAAGTAAGAAATAAAAGCAACAGCCCAAGAATCTGAAAACATGAAATGATGCCTCATCACAGTGCCAGGGACACTGAGACAAAGAAAGAGCAAGCCAGGTGCCAAAGATCACAGCGAGTCTGGGGCAGAGCTGGGAAAAGAACCCAGGAGTCCTGGCTAGCAGTTTGAGCTTTAACTACTAGAGCATGTTGCCTCCTCCCTCTTCTTCCACAGAAGCACTTCTGTGTTGGAAACATCTGGCGTGCCCTATGGGAGTGTGATTCCTAAAGTGCACTAACGTATATTAGAGCACACTAGGGAACCTTTAGTGCACACTAGTAGGGTCTCTACAGACCAATTAATGCACAGTACGTTAGTGCTCTTTAAAAATCATACCCCCATACTGCACATTATCCAGCTAGGTAGACAGCCCGACGTGAAAGGCACTGAGGTTGAAGCCATAGTTTTTCTTGATTAGGAGAGGCAGAAGGGCTTGTTAGTGAGGAGCTTTCCCTGGTGATAAAGAATTAAGAACCAGTCCCAGTTAGGTCATACTGGCCTGAAAACAGGAGTAAAATTGGTAAATATTATCCTGGTTCCATTCCAGGAAGACAGGCACATCAACCTGGGGCCTAGCTGGGCTCATCATCAGAACATCATGTGTCGGGCCAACGGATCTCTGATCTTTCCATTCTCTGGACCAATTCATATCCCATCAAAGCTTCTCTCTCCTCCCTGCCTCCCCTCCCCCCACATTGCTCAGTTTTCATGCTGCGGGACAACCAGGAATGAAGGGCTCTGCAGAGCTCAGTGGCCTGAGAAACACCGGCTCAGCCAACAAGGTCCACACCAGTGTCAGGAAAACAGAGGCAAGCAAGCCAACCTGGGACGAGAGGAAGGGGAGAACTAGGGCTGGGGTTTGGTGTCTGGTTAAAGGGGTGAGTGCCTGGGAAGCACCAGGATGGTACCTTCTGTGGCTGCTTTGGTGACCGTATCGCAGTGAATGTCCATTGTCTCATTCAGAGCTCTCAGTCTGAAGACCTCATCACAGGGACCTGCAGCCGGGACAACGAGGAGCGTCTCGATAGCTGGGGAGGGAAATGGCAAAGCCTCTTGCTGCAAGGGCAAGGCAGGTTTGGAGCTCCACTAGGGTTACCATATTCTGTGCCTCCAAATGGAGGACACTCCACGGCCCCCGGCCCCGCCCCAACCCCGCCCCCTCCCCAAAGTCTCCGCCCCCTCCCCTGCTTCCCGCGAACATTTGATTCGCGGGAAGCCTGAAGCAGGTAAGGGAGGTGTGGGGGGAGGCGCGGCCCAGGCTGGCCCCCCGGCGTTTCCAGCCTGGGTCGGCTCGGGCCCTCGGGTGCCGG